AGGTAGTATACTTGTCTTGAGGGGCATTGTGTGATACACATTTTCGGCACCTCCACCGGAATTTGTCATTGGTGATATTGGAGTATCACTAGCAAAGTAACGTACGGGTCTCCACCTCTCTCGGTTTTGTTTGTTTTTGCACAATCTGCGATTGATGTCCGACGAGACTTCAAACGGTTTTGTAAAGGAAAAGGAATGCCTGTCTACGTTTTACATTTCAAAGATATAAAAACCCACCTCATGTAAAGTCGTCCCTTGGTTTTGACCTGTAGTAGTACATATGCCAGACCTGTAGATGGTGCTGTTCTCGCAGAATCAGCCCTTGCAAAGACTGTTAAATTGAGCGAAATGAGAAATGGCTAAAATGCATGATCTGCTTGATATTTTGAAAAATAAAAAGTAGAAATATGCCTTATATAGGTATGGTCCTACACTATATTATTCAAATATAGCATGATAGGTCCACTTTAATATGAGCGTGAACACCATTGTTAGATTAATAACCTCGATTAGACATACCACATCCAACCTGTTATCCCAGGTCAGCAGCAACATGTCTACGGAAGTGATTCATTAGTTTTGAGTGTAGACACCCTTTTATACAATCACAAACACACACACACATGTCCCCAGGTATGCAGGCTTGTCGCAGCAAGATTCAAGGAACCGAGCGAGCATGCCTTATAATTTAATCCTAGAGTGCAACATTTTTATTGCTATTTTCTGAATGACTTTATCCTTGTTTTCTTGCCTTTGTCTTTAGCAGTTTTTAATAGTTCTGTTGTTCATTTTCTCCAGTATGAGTTTCGCTGTCGGTTGTGACATTTTATAACATCAGCGATTTTTTAAGACTGAGGAAATGATATCGCTTTTGGAGCCACTCCACAAACCATTAGAGAAAATACATTACCCTACACACATCTGGTTTGAGGTCAGAATTATAATGTTGCTCTTCAGATGGTTTACTTTTTTTGTTGCCACGGGCTGTGTAACACCTAGTGTTTGTTCCCAGACCAACCAGATGTCTTTGGTCTGTTATGTCAGTAAACACATTGGGCTCAGTGAGACTGTTATTGAGGCAGATCAAATGTTCTTCAGTTTGTTGCCTACACCAGTCAAGAGATTCAGCACGCATAGAACAGAAGTATGCACTATTCATAACTTTGGATAGTTCCATAAACCTGTACAAATAAAAGGTTGTGTAAACTTGGAGATTAAGTGGACATTTTTGCAAGTTTGGAAGAATAACCAAATGCATGTGGTTTATTTTGTTCCGTTAAAACTACAGCTTGTAATAAAAACTACTTTTTGTTAAAGTTTGACTTGGTCCTTACAGTAGTACATGGCTTGTGTTTTGTCATCTACTCACATGCTTGTAAAAATTTTTTTTTAATAGTTTCTGAACAGATCATTCAAAATGTACTGCGAGTATAAAGAGTGATCCACAATGGCTTGTACTGTATTGCTCGCCTTGTACAAAATGCTAGTGTGGAGCTAGACTAATTACATAGCAGCATTATGTCTTATCATTTATTAAATATGACAAACTATGAATTACTTATTCAGACAGTCAGGAGAGCAAAAGCTCACACAAAGCATTACAACTAGCTCCATAGTTTAGGAATAACATTGCTTTTATTTGTTGTTTTGCACACCTGTTAAAACTCTTTTGTACTTATGCATTTCCTTTCTTTTTTCATTTGAAAAACAAGACAGACCAAATCTACTGTATGTTTATCAAAATATGCACTACATAAGTCCAAATCATGTGGAAAACATTGTGTGAATGTCAGAAACAGCTGCTGTGCTGTACGTGTGCACCAGCACTCACTGTCCCTGAACGCCTCCAGATGTCAGTTATGTGTGGGCGGTAATGTTACGTCTGTTTATCGACATTTAAGACAGAAAAAAATGATGAAATCAGACCAGGACTTACGGCTATTAGAGGAAAGCAGAGGGAGAAGAAGAGATAAAGCAAGAGGAAGCCTTGCCTGCAAGTAGTGTTGGCTTCAGTCCTCATGCTCGTATAGTTGAGCCCTAACATCTGCAGTGAATTAGGCAGAAGGGTAAATCATCAAATGGTGCATTCAAAACCACACACTGATCAGTTTCAGTATCTGGACCAATGACGATGACTGCTATTGCATTTTGAGGATTTGTCTGACTACCATCAAATTTGATCATGCTGCACTCAAATGCCTGAATGTCATTGCTTTACCCCTGCAGCTGAGTGTGAGATTGTAAATCATTATATCTTAAAATGATGGACTTTATTATGTCTTAAAGGTGACATATCATGCAAAATGCACTTTTGTACGTCTTTTATACATGAATATGTGTCCCCGGTGTGTCAGGGAACTCACCAAGTGTCAGAAAACACAACCCTCTCTATTTTCCACACCCAAATCTCTTAAAAAGGGGCTGCAACGGATCTGATACAGACTGATCCAGATTTGAACACTTCTATAACGCCACAGAAGTGGCACTACGGCTATTGGGCCAACTCCACCAATCAGGAGGAGACAGCCACGGACATTGCCGTTTGAAAGCGCTGGAGACGCTGTAGTACATATGCCAGGCCTGTAGATGGTGCTGTTCTCACAGAATCAGCCCATGCAAAGACAGTGTTAAATTGAGCGAAATGAGGAATGGCTAAAATGCATGATCTGTTTGGTATTTTGAAAAATAAAAACTATAAATATGGTCCTACACTATATTATTCAAATATAGCATGATAGGTCCACTTTAAGCATTTTCATCGAGTCGCCCTATTTTTCGTAATTGTCTCCTTCTTGACTTTGCGTGATATGATCATATTTCCACCGTCTCAGACTCATGGCATAGCTTGCAAACAGCCTTTGGGTGATTTTCAAGGAAGAAAAGTGTGCTGAATTGTATTGGAAATGTATAAATCGCTATAACCTGCACACATCGGACATCAACATTTTCATTCAACACATGCATCCAACCTCACTCACAAAACACGTATGTGCACCTGCCATAGAATTTAGTTATTCAACTTTCTCTCATTTAAACTGATTCCAAATGTTGTCCTGTGATGTGAATTGTTCCAACAATGTTGATAAAGTCAATGCGCGTAATTCCCAGGGTGTTTCTCAATGTCGAGGACGCTTCCTTGGTAGCACATGTCTTTCCGAGACAGGTCCTTCAGAAGCGAGGCAAGAATCCTTCCTAGCCTCGGAAAACGAAGAATGTCGGAACAGGCCAACAGGTGTGCGTGATATGCGAGGCCCTGGATCAGGCGTGTGCGTGATTTATTGTCTATGTGTCTCTTTTTTTATGCTACATTTGACCTTTTCTCTGCGCTCTATAGTGTCGATACAATGTGCTAGCGCCTATGATCTTCATTCCGCGCCTAACCACCATTTACTGGGCCTAATAATTGGGTGTTCCCGAGGCTCGGCAACCGCTACTGGGGTGGGGGATATTTATACCCACGGGAGGATACACGTGTGCAGCCTCGAAATGTCCTCGCTACGAAGGACGCCGGACTCGGGTAGAATTCCAAGGAGCCCTGGAACAGTCTTCAGCAAGGGACTCCGATGACTTAGCATACTTGGAAATCGTTATTGGTGTAGGTCTCTGGGGCCATCCTCCTTGACCATTAGACCACCTGTGACTCCCTAATTAGTACTTTCTCTTTCATTTTAGTTTCCTCTACTTCATAGACGCTGTACCGGACCAACCTGATTTGGAGTAAAGTGATAACACCCTCCTTTATGATATTAGCACATGCTGTGGATGCTCAAAACTGTTTTTACTTTTTACTACTATGAACCTTCCCTTCTTCGTACCGCCACCGTTTCTATCCCTTCTGAATTTTCTACTAATGTTATTCATTAGACTTCTTTCTAAATAATCACACCTTCCACAAAATAGTCCCCATGAATACATCTCGACCCCATTAAATGCCTCACCATAATAATCCCTCCGATGATATTTTTTCAGAAAATTTCAATTCAATTGACCTAAACTATACTGTTGCCTGTAAGATCCTGATGAAAGTGTTCTTGAATACTATTTTGAATTTGTTGCTCCAATGTGTCTTGCTATGCCAAGGGTCGCGTACCAGCAGTTATTATATTTATAATGCTATTCCTTTACACTATAGTTAGATCTTTACATCTATAATACACACCCTTGTCTCTATATCGCCTAAGTAGCCCATCCAAGCACCGTTCAAAGATCCTTGCACACACAGATAGCAATAGTAGTATCGCAGACAGACAGACCAGGCATCAGTATAGGAGAAAGTATGAGGGAGAGTATAGTTCTGCATATTGGATAAACGGATTACAGATTTAGATTACAGATAGCATAAGTAGAAGACATAAACCGTCATTCTGGAACTAGGATTAAGCAATAGGACCGCCTTGGATAGATGATTTACATATCCAGATTAACCTACATTATCCACAAGGAGCTAGTAATATTAATACTACTGTATGTATACGAGTGATTTAATAAATATTGTCAATTCATTATATCGTTGACGCATTGCTATAGCTTTTTATTAATATATGCCACCACACATGTCGTTGTCTCTCTTGTTCTTTCACTTCCGTTCCTGAATCATGGTCTGTACTAATCACAGGCAGCCTGCTCAGACTGGCTCGTTAAATACTTTGTAAATTATACGTCCAAACCTCTGTCTCTTTTCTATATTCATTTCTCCTCTAAATGTTCTTAACTTATCTTGAACCATTTGAAAAATTATCACC